ATCCACTCCTTCAGTATTTCCATCAAGTGAAAGAGCTCCTGCTATGTTTGTTCCAAGCCCATAATGCCAAGGTCTGGGTTTTTGACCAGGCATCATACTGCCTTTTACACCTACTGCCTTTTGCCTCCATTTGTATTCTACTATAAACTAACTTTCTTAATCTCTGTTTTATTAAATACATCTCCCTTGACATTCACAATGCCCAAGGGCATAGTTACAATCATAATGAGTATGTTTACCATTGAGATAAATGCCCCAAATCAAAGGCTTATGAGAAAAGTAAAGTGTGTAGTAAAGAATTTAACCTTATGCAAAAAAGACTTCTGCCTTTTGACCTCAGCTTCTGGGAGGTCATCTCTAAACCCTTGGAATATCATTATCTGTTAAGAGCATTTTATTTTCCTGGGGGCCTTGGGTCACTGGATAGTCTGACAATATAACAATAGCCCCCAATGTCACTGGATGAGGGCTGGACACATCTAGATAGTCTTAGGTTGCCACATGAGAGAGACCAGCAACCTGATTTAGGGTAGGGGCTTCGGGTTACTTCCGGAGGGGCTGGAGACTGTAGACTGAAATCTGCCAGGTGGGTAGTCAGTCAATCAATCATGCCTATGTGAGGAGTCTCAATAAAAACTCTGAACACAGGACTCGGCTGAGCTTCCTTGATTGGCAACATTCCATGTGTATTGTCACACACTGATGTCAGGAAAGTAGCACATTCTGTATCCACAAGAAGAGGACAGTGGAAGGTTCACTTTTGATATTTCCTGACTCCACCCTACCCTATGCACTTCTTCCCTTAGCTGATTTTAGTGCAGTAGCCTTTAGTGATTTCTGTGAGTCCTTCTAACAAATTATTGAATATGAGTGTGGTTTTGTGAACCCTTTGAACTTGGTGTCAGAAATGGTGTGGTTCTTGTGGGGACTGTTCCCTGTAAATTCTCAGCTGGACTAAACTCTCTCAGAAGGGGGGTCACTTCTTTCTTTTCTTCTCCTTCAGGAGCAAGGTGCTTTTGGTCTTTCTTCTTCCTAGTGCGTGTGGGGCACAGGGAAGATTACGTAGTACTCTGTGGCTGCTCAGTTGTGCAGGATGGTATTGGATGAGGGCTTTCCTCATCACTGGGGAAGAACAATAGTGTCTGGACTGCCTAAGTGGGTTGGAAAGAATGGTCTAACCCATCCATTTATTAAATCAGATGGCAAACCAAAGGAGGCAAGTGCATAAATAACATTTTTATAATCTGTTAGTTCTGAACAATGTAGGAGACTGGGGGATGCGAGGGAGTAGAAGAATAAAGTACATGAGACCTGAAGTTTTTAAGAACCTGCCTGCATTTTTAATGAATATTTGTTGAAGTCATTGTAATGGTTTAAAATGGTTTGAAAGACTATCTGCTGGAGAATATTTAACAACTGGAGATTTAGATATATAACTTAAATAAAGGCTGTTTTTTTTCATTCTGACAGAGGAGATGATATGTTTTGTTCTGTTGTGAGTTCTAGTGACCCCTGCTTAGCTTTCATTGATCACAAATAATCTTCTCCAGGATACTGCAATTGCTGCATTGTTGAGTTGCTTATATTACATTTAACCTTGACGAAGGGTCAAAATAAATCTGTGAATTAAGCAAGAATGCATTACAGCTGGCTGAAGAGCATGTCAGGAATACCTGAAGAGAAAACAAAACTATTTTTCTCTACAGCCTGTGTACAAGTTGATGTGACTCCTTTTCCATCTACTTGGAGTTTAATAGAGAAATACTATTCTTCATTTGGCCCTAATTTGGGTAAATGTCCATCATGGACAGAGTACTCTCATGGAACAGAGAAAGGACATGGTTGCTGGCCTTAGCTTACTCACATATACAAGGGGGGAAATACTCAGATAAGGCATCAGCTGTGATCAACCCCACTTACCCAGAAACAAAAACACACAATGAGAAGCTCAAATGCCTTGACTGTACAAATGTATAGTTGGCAGTGGGTTAGAGAAGGTGTGAGCATCAGGTGACCTCAATGGTAACTTCATTATTAACTTAGAGAATTATGGGTACATGCTGATGGCACCTGTAGAGGAAGCCGTGTTGCAAAAGAATACCAGAAGAAGAGTGAGCAAGATAGAAATTAAAATTGAAAGGTAGCAAACCAAACAAAAGACTTATACTGGAGGAAATAGGAATTGACTAATATACTAATGTAAGGAATATAAGAGTTAACATATTAGACATATCTTAAAAAATGTGATTCAAAGTCTTTGTCCTCTTCAAGTTTTTTCCTCATTTAGATAGTCTTACTTTATAATGATGGTACAATTAAAGAGGGGAAAATGTGTTTTCTATGAGTGTCACTTGAAAAATGTTTTTTCATGACAAGCAGTGATTAAAATTTTATAAATACAGCAGGGCAAATACCATCCTTCAGAGGCTTTTTCATACCAACTAACAGATAAGAAAAGTTAGGTAATAAGAAAATTAAAGCTGAACAACTCTAACAGTTTAATAAACAGGAAATGATAGATGATGTTTTGCATGATTCAAAGTCATTTTTGTACTGAAAAAGAGTGAAGTCTTCAGTGAAGTCACTGATATGATAAAGGGTATTCTGCTGCTGTGTTGGGAGATGTTACATATTCATTCATTCATTCAAAAAATCGTTATGCCAAATGCTTAGCTAAATCTTTTGACCACAAGGGTTAAATACTCTCAGGGTTAAGACATTTTCTTGGTGGTTAAGCAAAATGGTTCAGTGCCTTCTGAAACTTTAAACATAAGCTAGTAGTAAATATTTTATTGTCTTCTTAAACATTTTGAAATCCTTCTAAAATGTATGTGACCTTAAGGTAATCGTATTTTTCAGAGAATAGGAGCAGTCTTCCACTATTCTATATCAACTGAATTTTACTATAATGAAATGGTAAAGATTACGTTCAAGAAAAATAATAGCACAACAACAACAAAACAACCTTTCAAAAATCAGTAAAGGTGTTCCCCATCATACCCAAACATCCACTGTTACTATACTCAGAAATTTCCCCCTTTGTTTGAAAAGGTATTGTCTGACTTCCTTACTCTGTTGTGTAGAAATACAGTATATACTATCCTGGCCCTCAGTCCTGGAAGAAGTAATCAAGGTGGATAGAAAACAGACTTTCAGGAGATTTCTTTGTGACTTTAAACTATATTATGATCCTTCTGGCTTCAATTTATCTCTGTTGTGAAATGTTGCCTGTGGGAAACAGCTGGGGATCAGATCAATAGGTGAGACTCAATATTGTGATTCTAAACAGCTTTTAATGTTAAAGACAGTTTTTTGGATATCTGATTATTAAAAGAGAATGTATGTGTACTATTTATTGAATTACACAAATATTTTTGCTAAGCAAAAAGAAAATGCATGAAATCCAATTTCAGAGGCTTAATTAAAGTGGCTACTTCAGTTTATTTAGTTATTTTTGGGCATGACATTGAGTCCTACTTAATTTTTTTAACACTTTTTTTTTTTTTTTTTTTTTTTTTAGCAAAAATGGAAGATTGTTCTTCCCAGGGAGGTAGTACGTTTCCTCTCATTGAAGGTGTACACTTAGATTATGAACGACCATGTGGTAGGATTGGCATAAAGAAGATTGCAAAGTTAGAGAAAAAATGACCTTTAAGTCCATTTCAAAGTCCAAGATTCTGTGATCTCTACATGGTGATTTTGAGGCCAGAACTGAATCTTAGCCATTTTATATCTGGACCCCAGAAAGGGGCCTGAAACAAATTGAGCTTGAAATGTGCCTGTTGAATGAGTGAGTTAATAAGATTAGTAAGAATTTTATTTAGCTTGTTGTGTAGATTTGAGTTTGAGCCTGCAAAGTGAGGCTTAGAAGGTGGTTTCTTTTTCTTTGAGTGACTATGTCAACCTTTGGGTCCTTGTCTCAGGATGAACAGTCTTGCGAGGCTGTGGCAGTCTGATCAGCCATGCTGGGCTTTTCCTGGGGTGGTCTTAGCTTAGTCTCACATTATACCCCATGACCCAATCAATAAAGTTATCTTTTGAGAAATAAACTTTTTATTCAAATAAAACATTCCCATCAACCAGTCACTGACACTGGCATATATTTTTAAAGATGTAAAAACTCTGGAGCAAAATTGAAAGAAATATAAATATCTAGCTTTGAATTAAATGCTATTATTAAATTTCAGAAGCAACTAATCACTACCTAATCCCACTCCCGTATCCTCCCAGGGATTAAGTAACCAATTCATTCCACAATTTTTTTGGGGTTAGCAATCTTCCCAGCTGTATTCATGGCTTCACAGCGCTTTGGGGCTACAGAGCAACTTGGGCATCAAAGCTTTTATTTCAGTCTTTGATCCTTCTCTTCAGGTTAGACCTTTTTCTGCCTGCTTGCAATTTCTCAAAGAGAAGGCATTAATAATTTGCCATTGGAAGACTTCCAATTTCATTCTCTTGTTTCTTCGTCTAACAACTTTTTTTTTTTTTTTCACAAGGAGAAAGCCTTTTGTGACACTATGTGCTTGGCTTCAGTAACTTGGAGGAGGATTACAGAAGCATTCCTATGGATGTCTGTAGTATGACTCCCTGTGTTAATAGCATTCTCACTCCACTTGCCCTGTTTCTCTTGCCTAATTCCTAACCTTGTAGCCAGCCTTGTAGCTTGTAGCCTTGTAGCCAGTTGTGAAGTTACTATGCATTAAATTAAGATTCCATTCTAACAACTCTTGCAGAATTACTGCTGTTGTAATGGACAGTTTTAAGCTCAAATCTTCAAAAAAAACAAATCTGATCTCCCTTTTACCTGTAAACGTTTAAGTAGAATAGCACTAAGTTTTAAAATGTAGATCTAGTGGATTGCTAAATGATAATTCTGGATGATTCCTTTCCCATTGTAGGAACTCAATATATATTTATTATTGAATGAATGAGAGTGAGAATCTCAGATGCTTGCCATATTTCTCTTTACTGATTTTAGAGTGAGACTGTTGGGTTAAAAGAAGAGAATATGCATTTAAGGTTTATGCTTCTTTTGTATTTCTCTAGAGGTGATCTTGGTACTTAGATGAAATTGTAATGGACATTTGAAAAAGAAATCTTTTTCCACATTGGCTTATTTCAAACTGAAACTAGTTGGATGCAAATCTGCCTATCTAATCGTCTTAGTATAAATTTGCCTTTGATGTTGTGGTTTCATAGTCTAGATGTGCCTCTTTCTCATTATGTCTTCTGGCACACTGGTATTTGGGGAGACATTTTCATTTCCTGTGCTGGCTTGATTAGGGGTGGGTGGGGGAGGGGGGGGTGAAGGGATTGGTCTACCAGATGCCCCTGCTTGATGGTTGCTCACAAATGCCTACATTGAATGTGCATTGAATGTGCATGTCTATATCCGCAGGCATAAACCTTTGGAAAGCATCTCTGCCCAGGCCACCCTAGTGGCATTCTTTATCTTCAGTTTTCTGCCTCTTTAGGGGGCCTCTCTTTAAAGAGGCATAAGTACAAAACATTCGCTACTGTCAGCAATTTAAATTCATACCACATTTCTGTAATTAAAGTATTTTAAAAATTTCTATTTAGTGTTTTATTTGCTGACAATTTTCAGGTTAAAATGTGGATGCTGAAGACAGATTATAGTTATTTAGATTCTACTAAGATACCAGTTTAAAATAGCAGAATTCTTCTAGCCTTGCTATATGCTTTATCATAGAATGTGACTTTTCCAATACTGCAAATATACCTTTATATTTGAGAACAAGAAGGAAACATATTTTGAAGTTAAAACATTTGAAATGAAAAGGATGAAACTAAGAGAGATTTATTTGAAAAAGTCAAAGATATGAGGCGGGAAATTTGGCCAATTTTGTTTGTAGTTCTTCAAAGGTATTTTTCAGGCTGGTTGCAGTTGCGAGAGGATTGATTAATCACGCTGAGTGGCTTTATATTCCTGTATTGAAATGGATGGGTGCTAGGCATAAACACAAGATAGGATATAAAGGGCCAGTCCACTAATATAATTAATTTTTTTTTTTTTTTTTTTTTTTGCGGTACGCGGGCCTCTCACTGTTGTGGCCTCTCTGGCTGCAGAGCACAGGCTCTGGATGCACAGGCTCAGCGGCCATGGCTCACGGGCCCAGCCGCTCTGCGGCATGTGGGATCTTCCCGGACCGGGGCACGAACCCATGTCCCCTGCATCGGCAGGTGGACTCTCAACCACTGCGCCACCAGGGAAGCCCTACTATCATTAATTTTAATTGAAACCTCTGGGTGACCTCCAATTTCACATTTAAAACTAAAATATGTTTGGTGTTTACTATGTGCCACACAATAGTATAAGGATTTTAGAAGAGAGTAGTTTGCGTTTTTCTCCTAATCAAAATGGAAGAGACAGACTGAGATATTAGTGCATTTATTCCCCATGGTAGCTCTATGCAAGAAGCATTTTATTATCATTTCTGTTTCAGAGATGAGAAGACGGAGGCAAAAGAGCAATTAAATAAATGGCTTGAGATCAGTGTATGTGTAGGTGATGGGACTCAAATGAAGAGCCCATGATCTGAATGTTATTCTGCCTCTTAGTCTTAGACTTAATGATCCTGTGAATTCGTCTTTGTGGTTGACAGCACTGTTTCTGGTCCCACAAAGCTCTTGTCATCTGTCTTGTTAGAGAACCCATAGTTTAACTGGACAATGCAAATTCTCTTGCCTCTGGGTTTTAAAATGACTCCTGGCCAACAGGAATATCTTCTTAGGTTTGAAAAGATGTTTTAGGTTTTTAACACATTATAAATCATAGTTAGTGCCATTTGTCAGAAATATTTTATTGCTCAAAAGTGCACTTGCCACTGATTCACATGCTTTATAGAGCCTATTTAAAATTGAGGATCTTCTGTCGCTTTTAACTCTTTCTAAAAAGAAAACGGCAAAATGGTGATTGAAAAATCATCAGCTGGCTAAGTTCCGATGGTGATATAGTCCATCTTGAGGAAGCACTCACAAGTTTCTGAAATGTCTGCAGCTGTTCATTCAAAGATTCAGGGAGATAGTGAACAAAATAGCAAACAAAGGCACTGCAGCCTGCAGGAGAATTGGGATTTCATTGTGTGTGTCAAAAGTAAATGAATTCAAGAATAACCACTTGAAAAGGAATTCTCCCTTAATGTCTTTGGTGCAAAAATGTGCTCAGATTGTACTGGCTCTGAAGAGTGACTCAAAGAGGTAAATTACTTTCTAGCTACTAGCTTTCAATTGCTACGGGCTCAAAGTGCTAGCTAACCTTGTAAAAGTGGAGCAGAGAAAAGAGTAGTTTGCATCCTAATCAAAATGGAAGAGACAGACCGAGTGAGATCCCATAGTGGCACCAAGATTTCTGATGGCAGAAGTTTATAAATAGGCATAAACAGACCATTGCAAGCCTCAACAAGAACCACTTAAATGTCCTGTATACATTTTTCAAGCAATTTTTCTTTGGAATAAGAGGTCTAGGAAATGGTTTTGATGTGTGAAAACTGATGTTTATAGAGAGTAAACTGTTTTCTTTGAAGGCTTTTCAAGTATGTATTCAGCAGCTGTGTAATTATGTAAATTTGCCTGGGATAGTTAGAGCAGTTAGAAACCAGTACTAATGAAATGATGGGTCACGGGTTCAACCATGGTCTGGGCCAGTGCGTTTTAGCCAGAGAGAAGCCTTTAGCGTAGCCCAGGAAGCATCTCTGAGACTACCCTGCGATCTGGTGGACTCCTTTGGCCACAAGAGGATTCAGGACATAAAAATCAAACCCCTTTCCCAGGAAACCTACCCCCCAAACTGCATGGTGGTTGCATCCTTTGTATCTCAGTGGGTAGAACTGAATAAAATATATGATCTGGAAGAGAGCTGTGCTGTGAATCTGAACACAGTAGATGTGCATGGCATAAACAATGCAGGACATCTTTATAATGTGATTTCATTGAATGAGTTTAGGAAATCTGTGACTTCACTCACAAAATCACTCCAAAGGATCGCACACTTCTTGAACTGCTTCTACCTTGTCCCCATCTGTAAAATGGAGCTACTAATGCCAGTTTCAGGGTTGTTGAAGAATTAAATAAGGTAATGTGTGGGTAGCACCCACTTCAATGCCTGGCAGATACTAAGTATCCAATAAATGTTGCCATTATTATTATTTTCAGGAATCTCCAACAAATACCAGTATTAACTAGATACCACAAACACTACTTTGAAGCATTGATATGAATCAGTTAAAACAAGAATCACCATTTATATACAGAACATTAATACCTGGATTTTATGGATCTCAGGAATTTTATATGCCTTACTGTATTGTAGCAGATAGCACAGGCTTTAGTGAAGAATTCTCTCACCATTACTGTAATCTGATTCATACCAGATGTTGAGGAGTCAAGAAGTAGGTGCATATAACATGCAATGCTTGTATGAAAATGTGTTAGAAAGTTAGGAAGCATTCAGAGATGAACTCCAGTAAATACAAAAATGCATTTCAGGAACCTAGTAGAAGCTGTTGGGCAGATTGACTGAAAGAGAGGGCAACAGCAATGGAGAGTAGATAGACCAGCAACGTGATACATCTTCTTGTGTACAATGTTATTTTGTTTGTTTGTTTGTTTGTTTTGTGGGGGAGGTGATGGGTGATTAGAGCAGTCCATTCAAAAGAGCATGTACATAATAGTAGGGGACTTTAACACGCCACTTTCACCAATAGAGAGATCATCCAAAATGAAAATAAATATGGAAACGCTAGCTTTAGCAGACACGTTAGACCAGATAGACTTAATTCATATTTATAGGACATTGAATCTAAAAACAACAGAATACATTTTTTTTCTTACGTGCCCATGGAATATTCCCCAGGATAGATCATATCTTGGGTCACAAATCAAGCCTTGGTAAATTTAAGAAAACTGAAATCATATCAAGTATCTTTCCTTACCACAATGCTATGAGAGTAGATTTCAATTACAGGAAAAAAAACAGTAAAAAATACAAACACATAGAGGCTAAACAATACACTACTGAATAACCAAGAGATCACTGAAGAAATCAAGAAATACCTAGAAACAAATGACAATAAAAACACGACAACCCAAAACCTATGGGATGCAGCAAAAGCAGTTCTAAGAGGGAAGTTTATAGCAATACAATCCTACTTCAAGAAACAAGAAAAATCTGAGATAAACAACCTAACCTGACACCTACAACAATTAGAGAAAGAAAAACAAAAAAAAACCCAAAGTTAGCAGAAGGAGAGAAACCATAAATATCAGATCAGAAATAAATGAAAAAGAAATGAAGGAAACAGTAGCAAAGATCAATAAAACTAAAAGCTAGTTCTTTGAGAAGATAAACAAAATTGATAAAGCATTAGCCAGACTCATCAAGAAAATAGAGGAGCAAATCAACAGAATTAGAAATGGAAAAGGAGAAGTAACAATTGACACTACAGAAATACAAAGGATCATGAGAGATTATTACAAGCAACTATATGCCAATAAAATGGACAACCTGGAAGAAATAGACAAATTCTTAGAAAAGCACAAACTTCCAAGACTGATCTAGGAAGAAATAGAAAATATGAACAGACCAATCACAAGCACTGAAGTTGAAACTCTGATTAAAAATCTTCCAACAAACAAAAGCCCAGGGCCAGATGGCTTCACAGGTGAATTCTATCAAACATTTAGAGAAGAGCTAACACCTTTTCTTCTCAAACCTTTCCAAAATATAGCAGAGGGGTGAATACTCTCAAACTCATTCTATGAGGCCACCATCACCCTGATAACAAAATCAGACAAAGCTGTCACAAAAAAATAAAACTACAGACCAATATCTCTGATGAAAATAGATGCAAAAATCCTCAACAAAATACTAGCAAACAGAATCCAACAGCACATTAAAAGGATCATACACCATGATCAAGTGGGGTTTATCCCAGGAATGCAAGGATTCTTCAATATATGCAAATCAATCAATGTGATAACTCCATCTTAACAAACTGAAG